TGCTTTGCGATCAGACATTTTTTTCCTGTGGAACTTGAAGGCAGAACAGATTTTTTCTCTGCTCATAAAAACTGAGAGAAGGTGGACAAAACCATAGAAGGTGGACAAAACCATGTCTGAGCTGAACCTCTTAACTCTGCAGTAACCGGAGACAGCTTTGTTGGTCATCTGCTTTAGCATCAAACCAGGAGCTGGCTGTAGTTTTGCATGTAGGTATATTGGAGGAGTTTGGAAGTAACGTGTTAAATGTAATAATGTTGCCCATAGGATTTTTTTTAGCAAATTACATTGCCAACATAGCTAAATTTTAAAAAATTAATTACTGGTAAGGTTGTTACTTTTCATGCAACCAACCACGTGACATTCCTAAAACATGACTTTGTGTGAAAGTAATTTGAAGACAATTTTTAGCCATCTGTGTGTGTATGTCTGTGTGTCTGTGATTAAAAAGCAGCTCATTAGCAGAGATGTTGGCAAGTCTTTGGATCTGAGTCCCAAGTCTGTGTCTGAGTCTTTGGTACCAACTCCCAAGCCCCAAGTCCAAGTCCCTATTAAAAACAAGATTTTTTTTGTCCAGAAAAAAAGGCAGGGCTGGGTGAGTTCTGAGTCAGGAGCTGAGTCTGAGTCAAATTACCCGTGCAACTTAAGTCACCTTGACAGCAAGCCCTGCAGCCCAAGTCCCCATACCTACTCATTAGTAACAAGCAACATAACAAGTTGGTTTATTAATAGCAAGTAACTGGTAACAAGGGACGTGGTGGCGCTGTAGGCTAAACCGCAGAAGCCTGTGCTGCAGGGTCAGAAGACCAAGCAGTCGTAAGATCGAAGCCACGTGACGGAGTGAGTGCCCGTTGCTTGTCCCAGCTCCCACCAACCTAGCGGTTTGAAAGCATGTGAATGTGAGTAGATTAATAGGGACCACCTCGGTGGGAAGGTAACAGCGTTCCATGTCTAAGTCGCACTGGCCATGTGACCACGGAAGATTGTCTTCGGACAAACGCTGGCTCTATGGCTTGGAAACGGGGATGAGCATCGCCCCCTAGAGTCGAACAAAACTGGACAAAAATTGTCAAGGGGAACCTTTACCTTTACCTTTAACTGGTAACATTGTTATGCTATTTCTGATTTTCAAAGAAACAGGCAATAAGGAAACACTTTTGCAAAATAACATTCCAAGCTTTGCATATTATTTTGCAATAAATCTAGGCAGTGGCACAATACAGCCTTTGCACAGTCAAAGCCCTGGGTTCGGTCCATAGCATCTCCTGACACTCTGCATATTGCTACCAGTTGGAACAGTCCACAGTGAGCTGTCCGCATAAGACACTTTCTTAGTTATATTGTACTGGGATTTCTAAATTTATACCAGGCTTTCTTCAGCAGTCTATATTGCAGCATTCTATTACTTTGTATGCTATCTCACAGTGTATTGCCAGAGAAGTGGCATATGTTCAACCAGCATCCCATCACGTGTGGTTCAACGTATCTCATTGTCTCTCTAATGGTTGTTTTCTGTATCAATTTTTGGGGTACCAACAAACCAGATAAAGCCTCTGAAAACTGCTTGGGAGAAGACAGACTAATATAGCTAACTACTTATGGGAAGAAAACCAACACACTGTGATTTTGTTTCCAGACAATGTCAGAATATCAAAAACACACGGTTTTGAAGTAACCTTGTCCATGCTCTATGTTTAGCATTTATTTCTGTCTTCCTGACTAAACATTACCAATCTGAGCTGCAATGACAAAGCTCATGGGCTTTGTGGACATTGAATAAATACAATATGTAAATATAGCACAAAATATACACTAACCTTCTGTTTCGAAGCCACAGCATAAGGAGAAAGATTCTAGGGCATCCTTCCCCAGGCTAGTGCCATTGAAACATTATCATTAAGGCCTCCCTGTTATAATATTCCCAGATAAATTTCAAATGAAACTAAGGAGTCAGCTCAGCAGGAAAGTTCATTAGCAGAATAGTTTCGTTTTTAGTCAATAATTCCCAGAATCACTCATCCAGACTAGCTGCTCACAGAGGGCTGTTTTGAGAGAGGTTAAAAAAGTAACATTTCCTAAACTCTGCTCATGGAGGCAGCACCGGCTCTACCATTAGGTAAAATGAGGTAGACATTTCAGGCTGCAGATTTTGGGACATCCAGAAAGAAGTATATCCTGGCTGTTTAATTTTTTTATTGTTATATTTATACTGTCAAGCAGGAGAGGACATATTTGTAGAATTCATGTGTCCATATATCATTATTGTGTGCCCAGATCATGAGGAATGAGTACCATTTCCTACTCTCTGTCAGCCATCAAAATGAGCCAATTCTACATGATGGAGTTTGAGAGCCCTGACAGAATCCTATCAAACATGTAGCAATGTGTCTCTAAAAGGAAGAAGATGTTTTAGGATTTGGGGGCTAGGTTCAGACCTTTTTAAAATCCTCCCAGCATTTGGAAAATAGCTTGTATTAGCACAGTCTAGTCTCAATCAAAACAAGTATCCTGCACTCCACTCTTAAGACTGGAGGGTTGGGTGTATGAGGGGATGCGGTGAGCCAAAAAAGCTTGCTTCTTTGAGCACTTCCAGACATCTTTACTGCACTTTGGTCATCCTATAATCATAGAATTTTACAGGGTCCCATTCTATCATTCTACTTATTCCCACTCATGTCTATTCTACCAGAACAAAGGTTTGTTGAAGAAGGAAAGACAGTATAGCTGGGCATTGCTGTTGAACTCTCTGTCCAGATTAGGGTCAATCAATGTGCATCTCATAAGTTACATCTGCCCCCCCTCATCCTGTGTGCAGCTCATAGACTGCAAGGGGCCCCTTCTTTCTGACCCCAGGACCCACAAGAAATATGAATTTTGAAAATATTTCCATTAAAAATTAGTAGCACAATCCTCCCAGTGGCTTCCTCATGTTCCTGGTGCTTATTTATGACAGATTGTCATCTTATTTTAATGTACTTTATGAAAAGAGTGTTTATTGCTTTGTTTCTGGTTTGAAACTGGAAATCTGTACCTTGTCTGTATTATACTTGGAATTCTGTAGTTTGTGTAAGTAGACTTCCCTGAATCTGACTTCTTTCCTTGTACATATTAAGCCAGTGGTTTCCAAACTTGGGTCCTCCTTTTGGACTCAAACTTTCAGAAGCCTTCACTACTAGCTGTGCTGGCCAGGATTTTTGGGAGATGTAATCCAAGAACATCTGGGGATCCAAGGTTGGGAACAACTGCTGTAGACTGTTTCATATCATGTTCTCAGTGATCAGGGAATTACAGAGAGAGAGGTATAGAATTGTGATTTTGTGATATAACATTTTCTGCTTCACAGAGCTGTGCTTCCTAATAAAATACTACTATTGGAATACTATTAACTTTTTTTTTTAATTACAGGTTAGGGAATCCGTTTCATTTAATGAATTAGCAACAAATTTGCTAATTTACTTTTACTTTAAATCTGCTTTTCAGATGATGAGTAATATTTTATAAAATACATATAAAGTTTTTAATGTGCAAACTTTTATTGATTAATGTCTTGATTAAATATTTGTATTTATGTTTAGTGTTGGATTTAATTTTTAATTTTATTGTAGGAAAATATTAATGAAATAAATAAAAGGGAGTGTTCAAAATGATTTTTTTTTAATTTAAAGTTTTTATTTATCAGATCTGAATTAATATATTTATTTAAAATTTTTATTTATCATATCTGAATTAATATATATAATATTTCCATGTTGGAGAAGTGGACATGGGGCAAAGATTGTAGCTATCTTGACTTTCCATTAAAGTGCTTAAATACTGTGATCCTCTTTTTAAAAAAAAAGTATAAAAGCTAATTAGCCACTTTGACCATGCCCTTTTGGGAAGTGCAGCGCACAAGCCACTGTTGAATCTAAAAAATTACCCCTGCCCCTGTCCAAGTTGCCCCCCATGGTGTAGAAGCAGTCTGATAATAATTGTAGTTGTTGTTGTTTGGAATTTGGCTTTACCTAGAAATGGGCATGAACCGCCAAACTGATGGTTTCTGCCGATTCGTCCTTCAGTCGAGCAGGTATTCGGGCTTCCCAGCCTTACCTCTTCCAGCAAGCACCCACTCAAAGGCAGTGCCCTGGCTTCCCTGCCCTGCCTCCTCCAAGCACTGCCTCTGAGTGGGCACCTGCCAGGGGAGGCAGGACTGGAAAGCGCTGAACACTTGTTCAGCCAAAGGATGAGCTGTCACAAACTGCTGGTTCAGTGGTTCATGTCCATCTCATCTATGTCCTTATTGGACTTTGTCTACCTATAGGAAAGAAAGGAGATCCCTGTCCATTTTTTTCCTTTTCTTTTGCATCATAAATTTTCTGGACTGGAAAGCTTAAATCACTAGCCTAACATTGTTAAGATGACTCTCAGGGTTTCAGGGAAGGGTTTTCCTTACTCTACCTGGAGACACCAGAGACTGAACATGAGATCTTCTGCACTCAAACATGTGTTCTACCACTGAGCTATTAACCCTATGGCATTACAGTGGCTGACAGAGTATGCTAAGACTTGTTTCTTCTCTCCCACAGACATCAGGACTCCCTTAACTTCATTTTAGTATGCAAAGGAGGATGGCAGCAGCTACTCATAAGAGGTGTGTTCCAGCCCAGTCTGCACCAGAAATGAGTAATGAGACTTCATATACATCTATAAATCCATATTCAGTGGTGCCATCAAAATTAAAAATAAGAAATTATAGGTGTGGGACAACTTTTAAAAAACCCTTGAAGACTATGGAAGTGAAACATCATTTTCCATCTTTTATATATTTCCAGGAGATATAGTTAGTCAGTCACAGCAAAAACTGTGAGAAATCTGGTAGCATCATAAGGACTAACAAGGTTTACTTGGCAAAAACATGATGGGCTTTTAAACTGTTTCATCAGAGGCCTTTAAAAAGTGTATCAACTGGGTTGTTATATAATTACAGATATTTTTAAAAAATCAATTCAGACATAAATGTATTATATTGCAATAGTAATTTTTATTGCTCTCATAACTGCTAGGTTTTTAGCCAGTGATTACAAAGAATAAAGATTGCTTTGAAACCAGTACATTGTGCATTTGTATGCCCTTTCCTTAGCAGAAATACAGTTGTAGCAATACGTACTTATTAGCACAATTTCTCTTTTAAAAAAAGAGAGAGAAAGAATCATTACTAAAAGGCAACTAAAAAGGAAGGAATCCATACCACGCAATTGAAACATTTAGAACTGCATGCGATACTGCAATATAAAGAGGGAAAGGGCATGATATGCACATGAATACATTGATGATAACATGATGAAGCACTAAGTGAATATATGTGGAATAGAAATCACTGAAATGCATACAAACAAAGGGCAGGGTCACTCACTGATGATCAGTGGAACATAACATGGGTTCATCATCAGACACAACAATGGTGTAGGTGGGCTGATAAAAATTGCTGTGGAGGCTGGTGTAAAGTGCTGAGCGCAAGACAGGGAGAAGATTAAGGGAAGCTGGGTAGATAACATGCGCAACAGGCAGACCTGTGTCACTGGAGGCATCTATCTGGAGTTCCAGACTGGTGTAATCAATATCCTTGCAGGAGATATCTTCTTGCTTGTAGAAATACATTCTTTCCGAAGGCTCAGGATCAGGGAAACTTGTGGTTGAGGTGATTTTATCAATCATGTGTATAGCATTTTTGAATTCTTCATGATTAAGAAGATACATGTTCTCTCGCCTTTCTCTGCGGAAGATGATCTTACCTTCGTCCTGGAAGTCGGAACGTTTGCATATCTCGACCTGGGAAGAATTGCTCTCATAGAAGAACCACTCGCACCCATCCAGGTCCTTCCTTCCACAGTAGTCCCATCCAAACTCATCAATATGGCATCGATACTCTGAGTGACCATATCGGGAACAACGGTAGTTTTCATGGCAAGGCAAACCAGCAGGAGTGACATCACGGAATGGAGAACAGCGTTTAGAGCCATGGGCTGTTTTGCAGTAGAAAGTTCCACCCTTTGCTTGGCAATGTGTAAGACACACATGATTTTCTTGGGAATATTCAAGGAAAGCCTTGTGGCCGAGCAACCCACAGTAATTCCAGCCTCCATCTTCTAAGTAACAGTAGCGGTAGCTGCCCCCAAAGAAATCACAAGATGTTTTGCATTTTTTGCCTGCAATATCTAGGCCTTCTTCTAAGGAACAATAGTCCCAGTATCCTCCATTGCCACCACTTTGCTTGCACCAGGTGTAACCATAGCCATGATTCCCACAAGATTCTTGGCATACACCTCCAGAACTTGTATAATGAACAACAGAACCAGAGGAGGCAAATGCCACAATGGAAACAAGTGTAAGCAGAGCTACACTGAAACCCATCATGTTCTTGGAACCCTGAAATGAGGTGGGGGAGAGAGAAAGTTCTGGTTAACATGATGCTTGCAAACTGTTTCATTTCTGGAACATCTTTCTGTTGTTAATCCTGTCTCCATGCATCTTCCTAACATTGTCTATGACATGATTCTTTAAACTGCTTTAAATGGTCCAGATTTGGCCATGAGCCAGACTGAGACAACCAATTTCAGATTTCATGAAAGAACAGGAAGTAATTGATTTCTTAATAACTGTGTTTTTCTCATGGGTGGAGGAACTAAATTGTCCGGAGAAACCCACGGTATTTGCAAAATAAGCATGCTATTACATAGACCATTACATATACCATTGTCCTCTAAAACAGAATAGCAGGCACTGTCTCTAAAACAGGAAGAGTAATGATGGAATATAGAAACTAGAACACTCATAAAACTAGGATTCAAATTTAAAAGTTCCTTCTCCTGAAGTTCAAGCACAATCCTGAAAGTTATCAGCTATGTATTGGAAGTTACTTTCTGCTACATCCTTCTTACTCACTGCCTTGTGTTTCATATTTGCTTTGGACATTAAAAGTTGAAGTTACCCATAATTTGGGAAAATAGTTGCTCACTCTCACAAGCTTTTCATTTTCTTTACTTAAATTCATAAAATACCATCTACTGTAATCAATCAATCAATCATATTACTGGAAAAATTATATTATTATTATTAATCCTCAGCAAATACAGTGTTGGTTAAGATCCCAAGAGCACATTTTAAATTCAAGCCCATATTTTCACAAGAATAGGAAAGTTCAGATCCATGAGATCGTTTCACTGAACTGTTTAATTTCTGGCAGACAGCAGTCCAGTATAGGATGGTTGTTTCCTGCACTGGACACCACATTAACTATATTCGGAAGTGCAGAAACAAATAAAAAATGATTAGAAACACATATGTGTCCTTCTGTCTGAATCTCCTACAAAAATACAGAGCTGCAGGGGCAGAAGGAAGCCTCAGTCTTTAACTACCTGTATCTCCTGAAATGAAAGCAAGGTTTATCAGATCATAATGTCCATTGATAGATTATCAAATACAGCCCAGATATTGATGAACAATCTTCATATTTACTAGACGTCAACCTAAATGCTGTCAGTTGGTCTGTTTTCTGAGCATGGATTGTATCTTACCATACACAGCCTCCATTCCAAAATTTTAAAAAATTCTCATCTGCCCTTTGTTATGCTTTCATAGCAGTAGTTTTACCTTGAAACATGCATGTGATAATTGCATGGGATGAGAACATTGTCCCAATCTTACTTACCTTGAACTGTGCATCTACCTAAATTTAGAGTCTCTCAGAAAACAAGCATCTCAGATACTTACTTCTGTCCTCCTTAAGCACTCCTCTTGCTCTCTCTCACTTGAACCCCCAGGAGCAATGAAAAGTGAACAAGACTTTCTGCTGTTTATATGCTGAAGGAATTTCAAAACCGTGACCTTATTTAAAGTAAAAAAAAGCGGGGGGAAGGAGAAATGAAAGAGGAACTGCACCTCGAGCACTTCTCGTCTGAAATCATGATTCATTCGACAACATCAGTGTATCTGGAAGAGATTCCCCATTGGATAATATCTATTCATACAATTAAGTTTAAAGTCACATAATTCTTCTGCTGTCATACTTTTTGATTTCTTAATGGTCCACCAAGGATGCCGGCAGAGAAAAATTCAGGGAGTAGAGGACAAAATCTATTAAGAATACCTATAGATTGTTGACCTGTAGTTTTTACACTGTTAGGTTACTATGATATGTGTAGGGTGGTCTGTGTCATATAAAACTTGTAGCACAGCATCATTAGATCAGAACCAAGCTGCCAGCTGGTCTGATCAGTTTGCCTCAAGAACAGGGTGGGCAGAGGGGGGCTTATTTCACAGCTGGAGCTTGATATTCTCTCACTTAGGTATTCCACTGGTCTGAGAGCTCACTATGCCTACAAGTCTTTCTGGATAGCTGGAGTGTGTGTGTGTTTGTTTCATGTATCTGCAGACATTTAAGGAAATATCAAGTTAAAGATTGCAGGGGGCAAGTGCCCTTCCTTGCCCTGCCCCCATGTGTACAACTGTAATCGTGCTTCTGCACATTCTTCTTTAACCTTCATCAGAAGCTGTCATTGCTGGTTCTGCCAAGTAATATGGTATCATCTGCATGTCTTAAAATACTTCTTATTTTTGCTCCTCCTCTTTCTGAATCTAATCCAGTTTTTTGTAGGATATGTTCTGCATATGGACTGAACTGAGATAAAATACACTATTGTCTGACATCTTTGCCGATTGGAATCCATTTTGTTTCTCCATAGTCCTAACAGTAGCCTCTTGTTCAGAATACAGTATACAGCAGATTACAGATGAGGGCAATCAAATACTGCAGCACACCCAGTTCTTTAGACTGATCCACAACATTTTAGTGGCTATATATTGTAGCAAAGTTATCTTCACTCATTTCCCACCATGCTTTTTGTTCCAAATTACGTACATGAAACTCTTATGTATCTTTCCTTAGGATATATATATAAGCAAAGCAAGGAACATGACCATGATTTCATGCAATATTTTAAAGAATCATGGAGAATATCCCCACCCCTAGGCTAGTCATCTTGAATTGTTTCAGAAATAAGTTACTTTCCCTAAAATTCAAGAAACAATTGGGATGACATTCATTCTGATGCAGTTCTTGAAACTGTTAGCAGAGATTCCAACCATGAACAATCAGAATGGTTAGTAGAACAAACTTCCCTCATAAAAAAAACCAATCACAACCACAATTCTTATTCTAAGAAAATTTAAAAGCTAGATTTTGTTATAATGATGATGATGATAGTGTGCTGTCAAGTCAATTCTGTATTATAGTGATCCTTTCCAGGGTTTTCTAGATAGAGAGTACAGTGGTGCCCCACTTGACGACGATAATCCATTCCAGCAAAATCGCTTACAGCAAAATCGTTGGCAAGTTAAAAAACAAAACAAAACATTGGAATGCATTGAAAACATTCCAATGGGGAAAATACCTACTCGTGCAGTGAAGATCCTCCATAGGGCGGCCCTTTCGCGATCCCTGTCTTGCGAAAATAGGTCAGCAAAACAGCGGGCAGCCATTTTGCGAACTGTCGATCACATGTTTTTAATCGTCGTAATGCGAAAAAACAGTTCCCGGAGCAGGGACTGAAATGACGTAAAGTGAAAAAAAAACCCAATGGAACCATCATTTTGTGATCGCTATAGCGATCACAAAAAAGACATCATCAAGCAATTCCATCATCAAGTAGGGCCATCGTAATGCAGGGCACCACTCTACTCAGAAGTAGTTTACCATTCCTTTCTTCTGGGGGGTGACCTGGGACTGTGCAGCTTACCCAAAGCCACACAGGCTGGCTCTTCTCCCAGGAGGCACAGTAGAGAATTGAATTCCCAGCCTCTGGTACCACCGTGAGATACCTAAACTACTGAGCTGTCCTGGCAGATGCATTAAAGGGCAGAACAGGAATTCTTATTCTGCCTGAAAAGATGCATATAGTCGTAGTTCTTATAGTTCATAGTCCTCACTTCTTTAGAACAAAGGCTTAATCTCGGCTCTTTCCTCCTGTAGAGAAGGTCAACAGAGAAATATGAGAAGGAAAGGACTAGCAGTAGCAGCCCTAAGACACCAGAGCACAGAGTGCTGTCCTTTGAAGATGCCGGCCACAGAGACTGACGAAACGTTAGGAAGAACAACCTTCAGAACACGGCCAAAGAGCCCGAAAAACCCACAACAAGCACTAAGAATATCAGTCTAGGTTGAATCAATATAGGTCACAACAGGTAAACTAAACTTGTGGAAATGTTCAAATCTGGTGTAGGAAACTTGAGAAAGTCTTCTTTAGTCCTTCCTGTTCAAAGAGGTGTACTTCAGTGTAAGCTAAGTTACACCCAGCCACAGAAATAAAGCATCCCAACCTGCTGATACATGATCATGCAACCTCAAGGAACCCATTTACAATGAGTTAGTAATTGGTGAGTGGAATTACGGCTCTGCCATAATACCACACAGCACATTAAGATGAAACAGTATCCCAATGAAGTTGCTATTATCCAGAACTTGGAAAAGTTATTTGCGGGACAACCACAGCAGGGCTGTGAACATTCAGGGGCTTGTAGTCCCTAAAAATACTGTATTTTCAAGTTGTGGTGTTGCTGGAAAAGAGTGTTAGTGGTTACCAGCAGATAATTTAGGCAGTTGTCTGCTGGGGAAAACATGTCATACTCAGAAGGAAACTGAATTTCATAATATAAGAGTGACCTTTTCCCTCCTGCTTGTGTTTGGGCTCTAATTTATTTACTCTCAGCCATTATCACAGTCTTCTTTGACTTAAAAATAATCTAGGAGTTTAGTACTTGTGTTCATGGTTATAGTCACCAGTGTCAGCATTGTAAAACTCCTTGTTTTCCAGAAAACTGTTATATTGTTATTTGTTTAGAAAGCATAACATGGAGAAATGTCCCTGAAGGGGAAAGGTTGCATGGAATTCCTTGGCTGTACTGGTAGATTCTTCCAAGCATGTCTTGTTTTTCATTTTCATTTTCTTGGAATGACCTATCAGAAAGTTTATCTTACAGTGGCTGCCTGAAGGAAACGCACAATCTGTTCTGCTTATCCAAACACAGGCAAAAGGGCAGTGCGTATGTGTTACCATCATAGAATGGAACCAAAGAATAATGAAGTTGGAAGGAGCTTATAAGGCCATCAAGTCCAACCCCATAAGGCAGAAATACAAATCAAAGGATATCTGCCAGGTGGTTGTCTAAATTTCTCTTGAATGCCTTTAGTGTCGGAACAATCGCCACCTCTCAAAGTAACTGGTTCCATTGCCATACTGCTCTAAGTCAAGACGTTTTTTCCTGATATTCAACCAAAATCTGGCTTCCTGTAACTTGAGCACATTGTTGCATGTCCTGCACTCTGGGTTGATTGTGAACAGATCCTGCCCCTCCTCTATATGACAGCCTTTAAAGTACGTATAAGGCCATCAAGTCCAACCCCATACTCAAGGAAGAAATACAAATCAAAGGATATCTGCCAGGTGATTGTCTAAATCTCTCTTGAATGCCTTTAGTGTCAGAACAATCAGCACCTCTCAAAGTAACTGGTTCCATTGCCATACTGCTTTAAGTCAGGAAGTTTTTTCCTGATATTCAACCAAAATCTGGCTTCCTGTAACTTGAGCACCTTGTTGCATGTCCTGCACTCTGGGTTGATTGAGAACAGATCCTGCCCCTCCTCTATATGACAGCCTTTAAAGTATTTGAAAAGTGTTATCATATCTCCCCACAGGTTCTTCAGCCAGTTCCTTCAATATTCTTGGTTGTTCATCCAACCCTAGAGACTTGAATTCGTTCAAGGTAATAAGGTATTCCTTGACTAATTTGTTTATCAATCTCCAGCTTCACTCCTGTCCTTTCCACTTGCACGTCACATTTGTCTGGAGGTTCATAGTCTATCCTTTGGAAAAATATTGAGTTAAAATAGGAATTGAGCACTTCTGCCTTTTATTTGGCATCTGTTGTCATTTTTCCATCACCATTGAGTAGCTGAGCCACTGTTTCTTTTCTTCATCTTTTGCTATGCACAAGAATGCATAGGGTTTTTTGTGTCTCTAGCTAAATTCAGCTCATTCTCTGCTTTTGCCTATGTAATGCCATTCCTGCAATTCCTTGCCACTTAGTTGTATTCTTCCTTTGTGGCTTGACCTTCTTTCCACTTCCTATAATTGTCCTTTTTTTGTTTTGAGGTCTTCTCTGAGCTAAGAGATTTCCCTAAAGCCCACACTGTCTATTGGACAGACTGTCAATGATGGAGCCAGAGGGGAAGTCAATGAAAGAAACCTCATTCTACAGGCTACCTCCCATTCCACATCTCTATGGCCTTCTACTCCTGAGGAACACTGAAAAGTGTTATCATCAGTGTATTGTCTATACAAAGGGGGAATGCAGCCTTCTTGTTGAGCCTTTAGTCTAGAATTCTTAACAGTCCTTTATCAGACACTCTCAGCATTGCCAGTGGCAAGGAATTATGGGAGATTGGAGGCCAACGTTTCCTCATCCCCAAATTAGATGGTGCAGGAACTACAGTAACACCTGAAATGGCAGAGAACCAATAGGAGTGATCCTTGACTCTATCCTTGTCCAGGAGGATCCCAGTCCCCCTGATCTGGAGAACCATATTCTCCAGAGCTGGTCAGGCACAAAATGCTTGACCCTGAAAAGAAAAAAGCCTTTATCTCAGAGCAAAATATTCTTTTTTAAAAAAGTTATTTATTCCTAATCTCCATTTCGGGTAGATTTTATGAAAGCCATGTGTAACAAATATGGGCTATCTGATGTTTTAGAGGACGTATTATAGTCAATCCAATAGGCATGGTTGCGTTATCGTT